TACTCTTAGTATCTTGGAAACGGCTAAGTTTTATGTACACATCATGATACCATAAAAACCATAAAAAAAAAAGAGAAAAGAGAGGTTAGTATTACAGTAGAGTTTAACTTAGAATCCAGGTATATAAAAGTAACCCGGTAAAGTAAACACTGCACCCACATATTATAGTATGTCCTCTACTATTACAAACCGTAAACATGTAAAAAAAAAAAACTGTCTGAACAAATGGTTAAAAGCTTCAGATCACGCGGAGCTCGGTCAGAAAGGCCGCGCAGAGATCCAAGAAGAGAAACTGAGGACCATTAACTCTCTGGATATCCAGCAAGTACTTCTCTTCGCGCGCTTTGTATAGCTGTTTAAATATCAAAAATAACAATGACAAATTTGTTGGAAGTGTGTAATGGATATGTGAGCATTGTTGTTGTAACACAGTTAGTACAAGTTTCCGAGAACGGTTTAGTTTTGCTGTACTACAGGGAACATAACCAAGAAACCTAAATACTATTGGAATATAACAACAGCAGATCTCAGTCTAGAAATCTTATTGATCTGATAATTTCTAATATGTGATCAAGGTGTGAGCTTGCGGTTACCTGAAGTTCAAATTTGATGACGGTAGGTGAGGTCATGGCACAGTCATCCTCAATGATGCTGGATTCATCACTGAAGTGCAGCTGATTGTTGACCATAGTATTCTCACCATCAGCAAAACCAGGAACCCATCGGCATTTCATGTTGTAGTGACCAATCTTCTTCCAACACACATTGAGTTCTTGTAAAGCTTTTAAAACCTCATTCATAATTTCACGAGGATGCGCATGGGACTGTTCAAAACACCACGGTAACATATTGATTATCAATCTTGGTATGTGGAGGTAAAGAGTACTCATACATAAAAAAAACAAAAAAAAGAACACAGATTATAAAATGCCCAAATTTCCAAATAACTTGATGACCCTGGCAAGACGAAACAGATGTGTCGGGTAACAAACCTGAAGTCCAAGAGCCCATTTTCGGTCAACTGGGACTTGTGATCTTGCTCCCGACCCATACTGATCCATATGTGCAGGAACCCAGTGGCCTACAGGTGAAGCAGCAGCTTCAGCTGGGCGCATAGGATTGGAACCACTGTCCTAGAAGAGTAAAATTGATAAGGTGAAAATGTTAGTAGAAGGGAGGCCTCGGCTTGACCAGGCCCACTTATATCCACTGAGCAAAAAGGAAAACACGTACTGTTGTCTCCTGAAACTCGGATTCAAGATAGCCACTTGGAACACGGAACCGGTTGTCCAACAACAGGTAGTATGTAACAGTAGCCTGAAACACGTAGCAAATGGCATTTCAATGGTTATTGGAAACAAGTTTAGGGGATTAAAATCATTACAGACAGAACCTACATACATCGTTTTGTACTCTGTTGCGAAGAGATTCCAAAACCTGGTTTCTGTCAAATCCCATGTTAACCACTTCTTGAATTATCTCCTCATTGATCTGCAAAATAGAAGAGAAGTTGTTACTATCACCGCAAGTGACGCATTTAATTTCCCAAATGGTGCTGAAACCAACCTTTTTGGCCTGCTCTACTGTATCTGGTGGAGAAACAGCAAGATAACGAGGAAGATGAGTCTGGAACCAACGGTGTTGACGGATCTCAGGGATGGTTATTCGTTTCACTGGGTCAACTATAAGCATCCTTGGGATCAGGTCTCTAGCATCAGATGATAAATGACTTGGAAGAGTGTAAATCCCACCCTAGAGAGAAATTAACACCTCGGTTAATTACTTGACATTGATATGACTTCAACAAAAGAACTATAATGAGTCTAAGCTCAAATGTCCATTTGAGAAGATTCATTGAGCTGAATCAAGGTACAATATGCAGTACCTTTATTTTCTTGAAAAGATTGGGAATGTTTTCATCGTCAAATGGAAGGGTACCACATAATAAAGCATACAATATCACTCCACAACTCCATACATCTACTTCAGGCCCAGCATATAATCTACCTGATATAACCTATGACAAGTACAATGAGATGATTCACTGATATTTAAAGTTTCAGATAAGTTCTCATAATCCAATGAAAGGGGGATACAAGACATCAATAAGGAAGAACACTGCAACTTTACAAACTGAATACCTCGGGAGCAGCGTAGTTGGGGCTTCCACAGCTTGTCTTTAGAAAATGACCATCCCGCATAACATTACTCAACCCAAAGTCTGCAATCTTAATGTTGCACCTCGAATCCAATAGTAAATTCTCAGGCTTCAGATCTCTGTGAACAACCATATTGCGGTGGCAATACTCCACACCAGATATTATCTGCTCGGATATGAGTCAAACACTAACCACACTCAAAAACTCAGAGAATAAAATATAATCTACAAACACAGTGGTTGTGGTCAGACAAAAGAAACCTGCTGGAAGAAGTTACGAGCCTCGTCCTCTTGTAATCTGCCTTTCTCTACAATATAATCAAAGAGCTCTCCGGACTTGACATACTCCATTACGACATAAATGTCACTTGGGGTCTCTATTACCTCATATTGCCGAATGATATGAGGATGCATAAACAATCTAAGAATTTTGATCTCCCTTCTCACTGTAAGGAAGAAAAGGACATACATTCTGAGAAAAAGCAAATAGAAAGGTCACAGAGCTTATTTACAGACAAAAACTAGTCACCAGGATTTGGCTGTTTAAGCATAGAGATCCATATATAGGCAGATATATTCACTTATCATAGGCGAGTTATTTTGGTTGGAGAAACCTCTCAAGCTAGAGATTAACAGTGCATGCGTACCTTTCTCTTCCATTTCCATGTTCTTGATCTTACGGCGATTGAGGATTTTGATAGCAACCTTGTGGCCCGTGACCACATGCTCTGCTATTTTGACCTTCCCAAAAGATCCAATTCCAAGAGTTTTACCAAGCTTGTAGTTGGGCAAAATCGACTCCACTCCATTGCCAAATCTATTTGATGAATGATCCATTTCCTGTCCCAATTGCAACAGAAAGTCATTAGGAAACTCTCTACGCAGCTTCTGTACACAAGAACGTCGATAAAATTAATGACACAACAGTATGTAGCATGAAACAGAACTTCAAATCAAGACCATGTTCAACTTATTTCATGCCATAACTAAATCTAAGCTACAAAATCCAAACGACCATAACCGACATCAATACTTGTAATGGTGGCAGGTTTTACTCTGCAACCAAACCAAGGAAGTAATCTCACACACAAACTCACGGATTTACAAAGCAAACACAAATCGTCATTCTCACTTCGTATCACACCAAAATCCTTCGAATTTCTACAACATTTTTTTCTCAAGAATCTATCCTTTCGGTAGAAAAGGGAATTTTCTTCAAAATTAGCAGATAATTTGGCTATAGCAGAAGAAACAGAGAAACTTTGCAAGCAAAATTAGTCAATCTACCCGAAAAAACCCCTAATTTGCTATCTCTCTTCGAGCAGATCCCAGAAACAATCAGAGAAATTGTTAGAGCGAAGAAACACCTATAGAATCTGATGGATTGATAAAGAGAGGAGAATCGTGGAGTAGCTTATTTGTTGATAGAGATATGAAGAGAAATTTACGGTAAGTGGTGTAATCTGAAAATCTTGGGAAAACTCAGATTTCAACTCGTCTCTGACGCAGAGCTGACTCAGTCCTTTAAAGTCTTCATGGTGACCTCAGTAATTTTAGTAATGATGTTTAGCTTAAGGAAAAAAAAAAAAAGTAATTTTAGTAATGACGAATCATGAAACGGAAACCCATATACTGTACAACAATAAATGCATTTGCAATCCCTCTAATTAGGGCCATTTTATATGTACTTATCTTTTTTTTATAATTTGAAGGTTCACAAATCAGGTCAATTATTTATTTTATAAATATAGATTAAATCAAAGGAAATCATACACTATATAAAACATAATATTGTAACTATCATTTAGCCACATAAAATTATGATCTCGATTTTACCTTTTTATAAATATACGATTTTTTACATTAACAAAAACGAAAATTCTATTTGGTCAACAAAAATGAAAATTAAAACTCAGAATTATCCGATTTACTCTCTCTTCTCTCACGCCTCTACTTTTGAGAGAGCGAGAAAGTGATTTCCGGTTTATTAAATCAGAATCTTCGGTCGAAGCCAGTCTTTTGCTTTG